AAAAGGAGATATGGACACCTTGGGCAGAAATGAGCCCCTCTGCTCGAGATGGGTCCCATGATGATAGGAGGGGCAAGTCAGCGATGGATCATCGTTAGGTTGGGAAACTTGACCCTCTCCTCCATAATGAATAGAGAAGGGGACTACCTTGACACCACCTATAGCATGAGGAGTAGAGGTTAAGAAACTCGACCCCCTCCATGACGAATAAAGGAGGAGACCACCTTCGCATTGCCTACAACCTTCCTTGGCTCCTCTTGCAGCTCACCTTGATGGCGAGCAGAGGAAAAGGGGTAAGCTGACAATGAGAGACTTCGTAGCATCCCTATTGTGGACCTATTACTCGATATGGGTCACTCAGGGATAAATAGAGGAAGAGAGGCACTACATACAACCAGCCCCAACTCCTCTGACAACTTGCCTCGACAATGAGTAGAGGAAGAGGGGCAGGTCAACGATGGGGGACTTTACAGTATCCTCATTGTGGACTCGTTGCCCAACGTGGGCCCCTCGAGTATGAGCAAAGGAGGAGCCCACCTCAGTGCATTGGCTCCTCATTCAATCTTCCTTGATAGTGAGTAAAGGAAAAGGGGCATTGCTTGTAGCTTGCTTTAGCTCCTCTCATAGCCCACCTCAATGGAGAGTAGATGAAAAGAGGGGCAAGTTGGCGATGGGGGGCTTTGCAGCATCCCCGCTGTCGACCCATTGCCCCATATGGATTCCGTAGGGATGAGCAGAGGACCCCACCTCTAAGCCACTTACAGCCTACCTCGACTCCTCTTGTGGCCCAACTCAATAGCAAGGAGAAGAAGAGGGGTAGGTCGATGATGGGAGGCTTCACAACATTCTCATTATGGACCCGTTGGCCGACATAAGTCCCTTGGGGATGAATTGAGTAAGAGCCCACCTCCACACCACCTACAACCCACCACGATGATGAGTAGAAGAAGAGGGGTAGATCGATGATGGACCATCACTAGGAGCATTCGCACCCATTGCTTGTGGTCGTCACTATGCCAAGGAGGTTGAGAAACCCGACCACCTCATCTATTTGAAGCATGACAATCGGGAAACTCGACTAGGTTGGGAAAAGATGAGTTTCCTCTACCTGAGATGGGCCTCTCAATGATGGGAGGGGTAGGTCAGTAATAGATCGCCATCAGCAATGCTCGCACTCCTCACTTGTGGTCCTCACCGAGCTAGGGAGGTTGGGAAACCGAACCTCTTCCTCCATCCGAGGTATGAAAGTCAAGAAACCCAACCCTTCCCTTTCACTTTTGTCGAGTCACGAAGGTCGAGAAATCAACCTCTATTGTTGTCGACCTCCATGCTCGAAGGAGGGTCAGATTTACATTGGTAAGGATTGATCTATTACTAAGGAGGGCTCATAGACGAGAAGTGACCCCTTCCCGAGGGACCAAGGCCGTTGATTCAAGGTGTGGGTCAAGCGTCCCCCGACCCTGTTAACGTTTGCCTAATGTGCAGAGTTGAAAAGACCTTCAATCATCACTCAATCGCCTAATGCGCAGAGTCGATGTTCGTCCCAAAGCACATTTTAGGTGGGGATAAATGATAGAAAAAATATCGTCATTTGATACATGACCTTCATGTGGTGTCCAGGGTGAAAGGAAAAGACAGAGGCCACCCTTCAATTATTTGCTCACGTGAATAAGGTTCCAAAATAAACGATTATAGGTTATCCCCCTTTGTCACTTATGTGAATAAAAGACAAAAGGAATATTATTAGAGACGGTTAGAGACTGCTTCCCGTAGAATATTCAATCATATATAAAAATTTATCTTCAACATAATAAAAAGAACAGTTATTTTTTAACTATTTATGCTTATACTAATGTACCTCGAATTATTATGATCGAATTAAAAACTTCTATACTTACACTTATGTTCATCTCAAATAATTCTATACATATGAGTTGGGACTACATCATTGATGACACGTCAACAACTTCTTTCTTCCTTACCGTTAAACAGTATCCGAGCATTAAAAAGTGAGTGAAGGAAAAGGCTGCATGATTTGTTGTTTGTATCTCCAACGAAGAAGGGCGTTCTTCTTGTGGATGAAAGAAACGCTGCTGCCGTGCACAAGCGACCACGTGACTCAAACGGACTGAACCGTCACTCCGATTTGGTGAGGGACAGTCAGATTACCGTCCGATACGTGGCCAACTAAAATCTCAAAAACCTATCGGAGGTGCTTTCGCCGGTTATCGGAGCCAACCGTGACCGTCTTGGCCTACGACGCGCCGTTAATCTCAGTTCTGGTGACCGTAGCGTCAGCTCACCTCCCGCTTTTGCGGTGCCAAGAGGCCAAAAGTTCGGATCGGCCCTCATCAACAACGCCGTTTGATGAGCCCGTCGCGGTGATCTCGGTTTCGGTAACCGTCCGTTTGCCATCGCACCGCATCGCCCCTCGTCAAAAATCCCCGAATCGACCGTGAAACTGTCGAGACCGTGTCAGCGGTAATCTCACCTGCTCCTTTTTTAATTCGAGCTTTTCCTTTTTGACTTTTATCCCCCTCTCTTTTCCTTTATTCCACGACTACATCCCGTTCCCACCACTACCGACGGCGCGTTCGTTCTTTTCGCCTTCTTTTCCTCCTCTTCCTCTTCTTCTTCTTCTTCCACTGCGCTCTCGCACCGCCTCGGCCTTCCTCTTTCTGCTTCTCGACCCTCCAAAAGAAGAATAATCGAATTTTAGTCCCTGTCCTCGTCTCCGGCTTCCTGTTTGGAGATCACTAAGCGAGTCGGTGCGTGTCTTCTCCCTTTTAGCATTCGCGTCCGCCTCCATCGCTCGCTCTTCTATCATTAGGGTTAGGGTTTTGGGAACGGATGGAGAGGAAACAAGGGTTCTTCTCGGCGCTGCGGGAGGAGGTGGCGCGGGGGCTGTCGCCGGGGAGGTCGAGGTCGGAGAACCCGTCGACGGTGGCGGAGCTGCTCCTCCCTCGACGGTGGAGACGCCAGCCGCCGCGGGGGTTTCCGGATGAGTTGTTGGTCCCGGCGTCCGGGAGCCTGGCGCCGCTGGCGGAGGGGCCGGAGGGGGATGACTTGGGGCGCAGGAAGGAAGGGTGGGGGCGGTGGGTGAAGGGGCAGCTCTCTCGTGCCCCATCCGCCTCCTGCCGTAGCTCGGATCTCCGCTTCCTCCTCGGCGTCATGGGGGCGCCTCTGGCCCCCGTCCACGTCTCCCCCACCAACTCGCTCCCTCCACTCAGCATCAAGGACACTCCCATTGTGAGTTTCTTCCTTTAGTGGCATGTATGTCTGTCGATTCTCTTCCATTGGGTGGTAGCTATAAATGCTAGTGATTTCCAACATTTATGCATTCAACTGCTGCTATTCTACATATGCAATTTTCATGTCAGAGTGTTTCAAGTTGGTGGAATTTTGATGATGGTCTGTGGTAGGAAACATCGACAGCTCAATACATACTACAGCAGTACACAGCGGCAACAGGTGGGCTGAAGCTTCTGAGCTCCATCAGAAATTCATATGCAATGGGGAAGGTGACGATGGTGGTATCCGAGTTTGAAACGGCGTCTAGGGTCATCAAAAATCGCTGTTCACCCAAGGATGCAGAGTCTGGTGGATTTGTCCTCTGGCAGATGGCACCGGACATGTGGTACGTCGAACTTGCCATCGGTGGCAGCAAGGTCCATGCTGGTTGCAATGGCAAGCTTGTTTGGCGCCACACTCCCTGGCTTGGTGCCCATGCTGCCACGGGCTCTGTTCGACCCCTCCGTCGAGCACTCCAGGTGCAGAAGCAATTGATGTAGCATAAGCTACCATCTCAGTCTATCTATCTAGGATGCTTAAATTCTGTTTATGCTCAGGATAAACTAATTCTTATTGGCGATGATGACTTTGTAGGGTCTTGATCCTTTGGCCGTCGTGAACGTGTTTGCTGATGCACAGTGCATTGGGGAGACGAAGATCGATGGAGAAGATTGCTTCATCCTCAAGCTCTGTGCAGATCCACAGACACTGAAGGCTAGGAGTGAAGGTTCTGTAGAGATCATTAGGCATGTCTTCTTTGGTTACTTCAGCCAGAAGACTGGGCTTCTTACTTGTATGGAAGACTCACATCTCACTCGAATCCAGTCGAGTGCTGGAGGTGATGCTGTGTATTGGGAGACCACCATCAACTCCAGAATTCATGACTACCGCCCTGTTGAGGGCATGATGATCGCCCATTCAGGGCATTCGGTGGTCACCCTTTTCCGGTTTGGTGAAGTGGCCATGAGCCATACAAAGACAAGAATGGAGGAAGCTTGGAGCATCGAAGAAGTAGCCTTTAATGTCCCAGGTCTCTCGATGGACTGTTTCATTCCTCCAGCTGATGTAAAAAAAGATGGATCAGTCAGTGAAGCCCGTGAGCTACCACCTCAAGCAGAGAGGGGGAGAAGCACCATGGCTGGAAGTCACAGGGCTAAAGTTGCAGCGCTGGAGAAGTCACATGATGTTTCTGATGATAACATCTGGTGGAGGGTGGAGGTCTAATGCTAAGGAAGTGAACTCAATTTGTCGATAATCGCAGCTATTTTTCTTAATCAGACTAACTCAGCATAAACTGGAGGTAAGCAGCTAACTTTAGGGGGGGGGGGATTTGGAGTCTGCTACTTTTAATAATCCTGTGTAAGTAGGAGCATAATTATTCATGGATCTGCCACCTGCACGCTTAAGGTGATGCTTATAGCGTTAGTACAGAATTCTTGAAGCTTTCCCGGTTTGGTTACTTTGTGTTGTCATAATTATGGGCTGCCCTGCCCCCTTCATGCACAACAACAGGAAAGCTGGCTGTTTGTAACAAGACTTTCTTTTCATATTCATGTGTGTTTATTTGTTTGTTGGGTTGGTGTCAAAACTGTGGAGTATGAAGAAAGCTAGTAGATGTAACTTCAGATTGGATCCGAGGTCGGGAGCCTACTTTTCCTTAACCTACTGCAATCATATTTGTCTGAGTCACACAAAGAAGTTGATGTAAACCAAAACTTGTGTTCTATCTGATGTCAATGGTCAGTACATATTGTTTTTGCTTATATCATTTGTCAGTTGTGCCACTTGTTGCAGGGCCTCATTTGCTGAATTCCTTTGTTGATGGAACAGGGCATGGCTACCTTTCACAGCCCAGGTAATAAGGTAACATCGACAGGTATTATTCCCTCACATTCATTGCCTCTGAAATATTTCAGGTAGTATGAGTAAGCTTGATAACTAACTATATCTGCCCTTGTATTGTCTGGTTATAGTTCAAGGAAGCTTCTTTGGACATCCCTCATTCATGTGTGTACCCTCACCTTTTCCAGTGGGACAGTGGGGACCTATGTCATTGATGGGAGATATGTCATCGGGGAACCCAAAAGGAGCAGACACAAGAAGTGAGGATCCAATGTTCACTGCCCTTTTCCAAAATATTAGCTTGTGATGCCCCTGAAGAAAGGAAGCAGCAAACATGATGAACCTCTCAGGTATTGGCTATAATGTCAGTTTCTGTGTGCTCCTAAATGTATATGCTGCTAAGGTAGTTTGCTGTGCTTATGCATAAGTGGCATTGTTAATGGCTGCTTCTCTTAGGTAGTCGGATCTTTCCATTCATGCCAAGCATGACAGGAAGCAAACATCACTTGCTTTGCAGGCAAGACTTCCAAGTTCTTTGTTCCTGTGCAAGCTGTGATATGTCAGACAAGCGGATGTAAAGTAATCAGTATCATCTTTAGCCGAAGGCATTCAGATGGGATGTCATGCTCCACTTGGCTAGAAAAGAAGATGGACTTGATTCAAAGCCTCGAAAATGGGGGACAAAAGACTTCTTATCCTCAGGTCTGCATCACCCTTTTAGCAAAGCAACAAATTTCATTGACTTCAAGAGACTTATCCTCAGATCTGCATCACCCTTTTATCAAAGCAACAAATTTCATTGACTTCAAGTGAACCTCTAACTTCAGAGAGTCTGCATGACCAGCTGATGTTGCTGGCTTTTTTGCGCAATATCCACAACAAACAAAAGGGCTTGTTTTTTTTATTTTATTTTATTTTTCCCGATAGAATTTGATTGTCGAATGTGTGGAGGGATTGGAAGTCAATCTTGTGAATATTGAGTGGGTTTCATAAAGGATCTTTAAAAAAAGGGAACTGTATCGAAGGTATCATCCGACAAGATCCATTTGATGTATAAATCCGTAAAGGATTTATATGATTCAATCAAGTATTGAATACGAAAGATACAACTCACTATAAAAACGAACCGTCTTGAGAATATTTCCAAGGATCTTTTTAGTATGATATTTTTACCTATTAGTTTGAGGTAATGATTATTACTCAAAACAGTTACATATTTTCTCTAACCACATATGTGATTGTGTAGTACCGAATCTAAAGAACATGAGATAATATTTGGTTGAGTTAGATACAATGCATCAATTTTATATAGGGTTGAGTCAATTATCACATCCGTGAGATATCAGTCAACTTAACGGTGGTGTATAATTTATAGAAGATATGAGACAATTGAGTGAGTATTAATGGAATAGTATAAGTAAGATTTGAGAAGATTTTATTAGAAATTATAATTATAAAATTTTAATTTAACTATTATTTATATATATATATAAAAAAAAGTTGCATGTCAAATCGATCTAAAAAAAAAAGGGAATCTGACGGTTTAGCTCATTACGTACCTGCATGCATGAGTAACTCTGCTGCCGAAGGCTGTGCAGCAACACTTTGTTGGTTGGATGCCTACGCAAATCTTGATTGCTTGGCTGAGAAGGCAGGGATGGAAGTCAAGTGGGGAATTCATATGAAAGGAGAATACCAATGATGATGACAGTGCATGCATGCGAAAAGAGAAAAAGAGAGGGTGGAATCATAAGATACAGACAGCCATGCATATATATATATGCATCCGAATAGGCTGCATGACAGAGAATCCATCAACCATTTCAGGATAATAAAATAATTTGGAAAAGAATAAATTCATTGATAAAAGTTCCAAAAAAAAAGAAAATGAAATTATTGTCACCGTACGATAGCCAAACAGTCAGAATCTGTTGACGACATTATAGCTAAACGCAGCCTTTATGAAACAAATCTATCGATTTATGCTATTTCACCCCAATCAGACATGTTTGCAGTTTACCACTTAACACACATCAGAATATCTGCAAGAGATCTTATCCATAAATTTTTGCATTTTAAATGTCATTATTATGCTAAGATATCATGGCATAGCAATTTTCAAATCCAAAGATGGGCTCCTCCTGTAGTTCAAGACAAGTAAAACTGATTGCAAGTCTTAAGAACCGGAAAAGAATTGTGCTTATATAACAGATTTAATAGGGATAGAACACACTAATCGCAAAGGCCCAATTACAACAAACTCCTCTGATTGGCAATTGAGATGAATGCTAAACTGCATACGATCACAAACAATCACTTTGATACAACTTCTCGATTACTATCATCATAATTATTTTGAAAATGAAACATGTTTACAACATTATGATAAAATGTCAACAAAAGTGCATACCAAAAATCTCAAGTCTTAGGTCATGCTTTGGCACCACCGGCTGCCCACGAATTTGACAGTAGCTAACAACCCAATTTTCTGCACCTTATGTTAGATCATAGGCTTGTGGAAGACAGATTATATATATCCAAGCATTATTGATAATGAAATCGACAGATTATGTACTTGTACTGGTTGACCTCCACATAGCATTTACTCAGCTCGCCGAAGAGGGTCTTCAGATTCATCAAAATTGAATGAAAAGATGTCAACAGGTGCACTCGTGCAGTCACGATTGCTGCGGTTGAATCTGGAATGACCACCTTGATGGTGCTGATCAATATAGATCACTACAACAGTGATGTCGTCATGAACACGCCGTCGAATTCCCTTTTCAATATGTTTTAGATCATCATAACTCATTCCCTGTTTTCTTGCAGCTTCAATTAGAGCAGCTCGGACCAATCGTTTCGCTATTCCCTGTATGAGTTTCAACAGAGAACACCTTATGTTTACATCAAAAGCATGACTCCGATGAAGAAATGCTAAGAAATAAAGAACTATTAGAAGAAAGCATGCTAGAACTGAAGAAGCTAAGAAGCTAACTGCTCTTGGGTTCTTGAATACTATCTTGACTGCAGCTTCGTCACTTAATTGCTCCCATAGTCCATCTGATGCAAATATAAAAAATAAGTCATGTGGCTTAAGCTTATGGACCCGAATTGATGGCTCTGCGGTGATGACAGGCCTCTCCAATGGAACAGGAGAAACAAACTGCTGGAACAGTGGATCGCTACTGAACTCGGGTTTCTTCAGGTAGACGTCCCCGATAGACCTGGAGACCTAACAAGCATAAAAAAAAAAAATATCATTGCTTGTTATAAGGTTGATAATCTTAATTGCTTCTTTGATGTTGAATGTGCCATTAGAACATATAATTGTGATATCAATACATTGAGTTTAAAAAATGGTCAGAAGCCCCATAAACAACAGTACTACATGACAATTAATTTTCATGAACATGCATGCTGAGAAACAAGTAAATTAACCATGCTTGAGGAAAGCACCAAACATAGTATAGAATGTACAAAAAAAACACCAAAGACATGTGACCGAAAAAAAAAGTTCAAACAATGTGCTAGTCATCAGCCATGAACTAATTCTCCAAGCCCATATAATACATTTAATTGATTTGTTATAGGTAATAAATTGTACAATCTTTTCAACTTATACATACATTAAGAAATTTAGTACATTGTCTGACAACTTTGAGTTATGATAAGAAATTTATCCCTGCACCGATTCCCTTCCAGTGGCTCAGTAGTCAGACTCCTCTTCTTTGACTCCAAAAAGTATGACTCGTTTACAACTCGATAGTCTCTTTCTAGTAGTAAGGCCGTGGCAAGGCCAAGAAGAAAAGGTGCATCTTTTTTATCCAGGAATAAAGCGATAATCTATGGAGAAAATGCAGATTAAGCACAAGTCCAAGATTTCTGGATGAACTCTTTAACATCAGTATATGATAACCAAGAATTTTGGAACCTAAAGAGATGACCACAGTTTTTGTCAAGGGAAACAACAGCTAGGAGGATAGGACAGTGATCCGAAGCATGTCTCGGAAGGTGTCTAACAGTCAAGTGAAGGACTGAGCAAGAGGTTGGGATGACCGGGCTGAGCCACGTGGCACACACACACACACACACACACACACACACACACATATATATATATATATATATATATATATATATATATCCACAGAATTAGGTCCACTTGAACATTGAGAACAAAACAATAAAATATTGGGGACATGAAGAAAAGATAACATTTTTGATTGCTTCTGCAGTGCATCAAGGTAGCAGATGGATGAATAACACAAGGTGAACCCATGAAGATCTCAACCCCTAAAGGACAAGGTAACTACATTATATTCAAACGGCCAGGGTTCAAGATGACATTATTAAGAGGTGTGCATGTATTAAAATACAAGAAAACCTTCTCAAGGAAAGAACAGAGATGAACACCAGTGTGCATACACTCTGCAACAGAAACTAAAACTGTGGAGGAGAAAAGAGGGGAACAAAAGAGTGTTAAGAAACAACAGGCTTCAACGGAGATGCTTATTATGGACCAAAGTAATACTATTTCTTTTTAGTTGTTCCACTCCAATAAGCTCTATTAGTGGAAATCCTATAAATTTAAGCAACTGAGATAATTAGAAATTTAGAACTATTAACTATGGATAGTCTCCTCACCTGAATGATCCCTTTGATCCGCCAAGCCCCACGGGTATGCACAATAATTTGCTTATCGTCAGGATGATTCGCAGCAACCTCCTTTCTGACTTCCTCCATTGAGACATTGTGGTCGGTTGACAGCCGCTCGGCCACCACGGCCCTCCCACCCAAGCTGCAGCGGCCGAGAACAGCCCGGGAGTCCCCCAAATTGGCCACGTAGAGTCTGTCGTCAGTGATCGCCCCGATGAGACAGCACGACCCCACCGACGCCATCTGTGGCCGTAACCGCCATGACCGCTTCACCAGATACAAAAACTCCTCCTCCGTCGCGTCAAACGCTCGTTTGATCACCTCCGAGGACAAGCCCCCTTGCTCCGACGCGAACCCTGCGCGGTTCCAAGAAGAAAAATCGAACTATCATCAGATTGTCTCATCAAGATGAGATTTTGATAGATTCGGTGAAGGGAGGACGGAGAGAAGTACGATCGAGATGGGAGAAAAGGCGGTTGCTGATGAATCGAGACGCCTCGGGGCCGCCGTGGCCATCATAGACGCCGATGTAGGTGGCGGAAGGGGAGGCGAACACCTGGCCCTGGTCCTCGAGGGAGACGTTGGCCTGGGCGACGGCGATGGAGAACTCGCCGGACGCATGGGGTTTGAGGTCCATGTGCCACAGCAGCCCGTCGCCGCCGCCGAGCCTCCCGGAGCATCGCTCCAGCGGCCTCAAGCACGAGCGCAGCATCCTCGATATCTCGAAACGAGGGTTCTTTCTACGCCTCCGCGCTTGCTGGTAGCCGGAACGACCTCGGGATCGCCAAAGCTGGGATCTTTCTCTGCCGCCGCCGCGCGCGCTGGTAGCTAAAACGTTGCGGAGATCACCAAAAAAGGAAGAGAGATATAGGTAAGATGCAAAGTTGGAGATGCTGAAAGGGAAGGCATTTGACGCTGAAAGCGAAGAAAGTTGGCGTCAGAGAATAAAGTCCTCTTCTGATTCCTTTACTTCGCTTAGTTTTGGGACGTAGAGAGAGCGGAAGAGAGACACAGGGAAGGATGCTGAAAAGGACGGCACTTCGACGATGAAAGCGAAGAAAGTTGGCGTGGATGATACCGGGTTGGGGAAGCAAAGTTGGAAGGAAGATAGGAGCCCGTCTCTTTCTATTCTTCTCTCTTTCGATGAGCAAGAGTTGGCAATCTGATGGTGATCACTGACAACCCTGTGTCACAGAAAAGAAGATTGATGGAAAACGTGCTTCTTACACTCAGCAGTTGGCTCAATAAAGTAGAGATGAAAACAATGAAGTTTATAGAATAACTGATGAGACAAATAAGAGAAAAGAATCTAAGCATTCTCGGTTGCAGCATCAGCATGTCATTATTTTCCAAGGCTAATGATTACCCCGCAAACATTCCACATTCTCCTCAAAAAGTCCACGGGCACATTCAATCTTCCAGTTGACTTTTGTCAACGGTCCACAGTGGTGGTCAACCTTTGAAACCACTGCTGACCCGCCAGGGAGGAATGTTTCTCATGGAAGATTCCATAGTGGGCCTGAAGTGGAGATTGACGTAATCTATGTCTGCCAAATCATGCACAAATGGAATTCTTGCGCAAGTATATCTCATTATTTCTTGTACTCGTTATGTCCTGACATAACTCACGGGCGCAATCTGGATGCCTCACGAGTTAAGTCGGGACATAACACAACCCTTTTTGGTAGTTGCTATAAATTCCTGGTTTGACTTATCAAGGAGTGAGGCACGACAGAGTCCACACGTTCTAATTGATCGTCCCATCGGTGGTGCCCAAGCCAGTCTTACAGAGACATTTATTCAGACAAGAAGCAGGCAATGTTGAATTTGAACTAAATTTGCTCTTCTCCTTTAGATGATGCAGAATACTCGATTAAAACAAAAACAAGAAATGATTTCTCAAGTTAAGCTGAGATGCATTTGGTACACAATAATATACTACCAATTATGCATACAAGGAGATGATATGAATGGATTGGGATCTTTGGTACTAGAGACTTCAAGCATAAATCATTAGCAGACTAATTAGAGTAAGAAGAAGAAGAAACGTACTCTGTTTTTTGATGGGAACTATTCTTTCTGAATTTAAGATTGTTGATGTTGAGACAATCCCATCAAGTGCATCTCGCCAGCAATATCGCTGTCGTAGTAGCCTAATTTGCATACTTTCCGCATACAAATTCTTGAGTAGATGCTTTCCTTGTTGCTTTGGTTGGCAGCAAGGTATCAATTTTTATCGACATTGAAATCCACCATCAACAAAAACTGAAAAGCTAATTAGCAAAAGTGCAATAAACACTAGATTGAGGAATATTATTTGCCATATGGAAGGAAATAATTACACTATCAGGTCATTAGAGAATATATTTGTAAGCATCATTAGAGAAATGATCGACTACCCAAAAGATACCCAGATTTTTCTGTATATCAACTCATATCATGTTTTATCATATCTAATTCATGAGTACAGATTGACACAGGCAAACTCCTAACCAAGTTAGGAAAATGTCATGTAAATGCACAGTAGAGTATCCAATTTGAAGACTAGAAACCATCGAGCCATAACGTAAGATTGCTAAAGTAGATAGCAGAGTTTGCATATCAAGATTGGAAAATTACAAGTGTCATTAATGCATGACTTCAAAGCTGATTATTTGATCACAAGAATTGTAGTCTAAGAATATTGGAGTTCCAAAACCTAACATGAAATAAAATTGCATTTTGTCATTCAGATATGTCAATCATAAATGCTATAGTAATAAGCTTGACCGGTATGACAAATGGTATCTTCCAACACTTTCTCACAGCAGATTATACCTTTATCTGCCCTTTGAATTGGAGCAAGTTGAACATCTGTTCTTATCAATTTAGTAATTAATCAAGTTGAACCAAGCAACAGGTCAAATGTACAATCTAATTTTTGGCAAGGATTTTTCAAATCTGATTGTGCCATAAAGATGATAACGATGCTCTCTTAGTTGCTTTCACAAGCTGGTAAATTAAGTTTTTAGACTAGCAGTGATCAATAATTTAACATGACTACCGAGCACCAGCATACCCATGAAGCATATTAATAGATGACATGACTCAGATAGAAACCAAAAACACAATATACATCTGTGACAAAGTTTCTCAGGTTTCAAAATCATTGTTGTAGAAGGTAAAAATAGTGTTGAACCAACTGGAGTGTCATTATATTTTTTGCTCTAGAGCGGAATATTCTGTTAAATAGGAGATTGCAGCTATATATCAAAAATGAATCTGAGGTACCATGATCACAAAGAATATTAAGCTACAACAACTTCAACCTAGCTATTGAAGTAATTACTATGAGGTTGTTCACTTAATGTCGGATGTAGAAGCACTTTCAGCACCAACCATATCTCCAAATAAGTAAGCATAAAAACTTTTAAGAGGAATCAAACAACCAAACCAAAGCAACCAACCATACTGATTAGCTTAGAAAAACCATTTAGCTCGAACAATGATATCTACCTGCCAAGTTGGCCTTCAGAAAGATAGCACCAAAGATGTTTACATCCATATATAAAGGAACTCCAACTCTTTAAATATATATGCAAAAGAACTCCAACTCTAAACATCTTTAATATATGAATGCGCATGAGGCTTCCATCAATACAAGATCTTATGTGTGCAACCATATTGGAAAGATTTCCAGATGCGGCTTCATGCAGAGTCAAGAACGACACTCAAGAATATGAACAAGAACAAGTCCCAACAGTTGAGATTTACCATCGAGGTTCTTCTCCTCCTCCCAGCCATTGTTTCTCTTGTTCTGTTGGCGTGTCTCTTGAACCGATTGGATGCAAGTCAGATTAAACATGTATGCTGAATCGAATAGATCTTGGTTGGATCTGTTCATGCAGAATGGAGTTCAGACAGTTAGAAGTGGCCTATGATCGCCTAAGTGTTCTCAGTTTGATCAATTCAGATAGTTAGAATACTAAGTATTCTAAGAATTCGCCAAGCTTTCCAAACAAGTGAACGTTTCCAATCCACCACAACAAATATTGATTCAAAAATCCAGTTCAATCCGAAAAGACCCGTGTCGATTAGATCATCAAGTAGAGCTCCTATGGTACTAATATTGTCATAATATTTAGTACATTATACAATGAAAAATGTAACATATTCTGATCTAGCTAGAATCACAGATCTCACAGAAAACTACTATACAGAAATTATAATTTTCACCATTTGTTTAAGAAGTCCAATAAAGCCCTCCTGAGAGTAATCAGGCAAACCAGAAGCCCTAAATAGATCATATCATGACCCTAACTGTCCAAATTTCATCATAAGTGAATGATGTAGCAATATCATGACGAAACCCGTTTGCTCCGATCATATCGCACTTCAAAGATCCATACCTTCGATCAATGATCAATACTACCAAGAAACACTTTCCATGAAAAACCCTAAACCCGTCGACTCCAAATTTCGACCTTCTCAATTCCGTCGCATATGAACAGACCGAATCAAGCACGAAAGCTAGTTACGCGTGGCACACAAGCAGAGAGAGGGACGAGTTGAAGAACCTGTGATGGCCATGGCTTCTTCCTCGTCGGATTTCTAGTCCGACGAGCTGCGATTCCAAACCCTACCCACCGAAAACCCATCGAGGGATCGATCTCCATAGGATACCAAAGATCGAAAAGACGGAGGAATGCGAATCGACCTTACCCTCGGGGCTCATTCTCGACAACCCCTGGCTTCTCCCTCCACTCTCAGGGTGGTCGGCTGCTGTTACTCTATGGAATCGAAGGATCCATCGACAGAAGCGGGAAAGAAAGGCAGGCGAGCGCGCAGCCGATTTAATATAATATATAGAGCCATTTTTTAATCTCTAAAATAATTTCTTCATACATAAAAATAAGATTATATACATTAAGTTTTATTACAATACTAAAATAATTTTGATTCATATAATAATTATTTTGTCTCACAACTCATCCGACTAAAAATAATTTATCTAAAATTTAAATAATTAAGATATCTATATATAATTCATTCGAATTCGAAAAGAATAATAAAATATTCATATAATGGATCTTAAATAATTAAGATATTATGATCTTATTTTTGTATTTGTACTTATTTGTTGAGTTTCATAAATGTCTAATTTTACATTGGAAATGAAGCTTACTCTTCACACCACCAAATCAATCAACTTAAGGATAGGATAGGGAATAATAATATGATTGAACTAAATTAAAGAAAAGAAGACCTCAAACATGGTGGAATTTCTTGTAATTCTATGTAATTATACTAGATTTTGAGGTTCTCATGCATCCCAAAAAAAGAAAACAACTGATCTGCATTGACTACTGAAGTGGAGGAAACATGCAAGAGTGTGAGAAGCTCACATCAAGTCATCCTAAGACTCAAACACTGCAAGTGCCAGGATGGCTGCTGCAGCCTGTCCTCTCTCAGTCCTCCTCCCAATTCATAGCTGATGTTTACATCCCCCACCTGCTGTAGTTCCCATCCATGGCCACTCAACTTCAGACCTCCAGACTCGGTCGATGATGAGGAGACACTTGCTACGGAATCACAAGTGAGGGATGTCTCCTCTCTCTTCCTCCAGCTGCTGCTTCCTGTAGCCAGTGTCAGCTCTATGTCACCCTCCTGCTCTACCTCCAGCATTGCATCTTCTTCAGCTCTTTCGATGTATTCGTCTGCTGGAAGCTCAAGATTGAGCACCCGACGCCGCCGCCGACGCCGGTCGCGGTGGCTGCTACTTGGTACACATGAATCTGCTGCATCCTTTCCTCCACCAACATGATACTGAGTGCAGTCAACAAAGCTCTGTTTGATCTTGACGTCCGTCATCAGAAGCTTCTGTACTCTATACAAGCGATGGAGCTCCTGCACCTGGTAAAGAATCAGATGTTAGTGATTGAAATGGTTGAAGGAGGAGGAAGGATCAGATGCTGGAAGCCTACCTGTTGCCTGAAGGTCTCTTCATGCTTCAGCAGCATCATCTTCATGCACTCTTTGTCATACTTCCTCAGAAACCTCTCCATTGGATGACTGTCTTGCGATCGATATGACTTCAATAAGATTTGTTCTTTTAAACTGCAAAGCAACAAGTTCTGGTCACTCTCTGTTTCTTTACCAATTTGTTGAGTAATGCTCATAATCTATCAATGGAAAAAAGAAGTGGGTTTTATCCCTGCACATATTCCACATCACAGTCTGTAATCGATTGATTATTATCAATGGAAGTTGTCATCTGATGAACATTAATCACAAATTCCACAACTGCATGAAACAGTACAGAAAGACAAATAATATTTTGTCTCACTAGTGAAGTATATAGCTGAAGAATTGCAGGGACTCAGTGACAGTGTGCTCTTGCATGGAATGATCAAGTCAATGTGATGGAATATTTGACACTGCATATGCTCTGCAAACATCTGTTTTGAGCTTTAGATCATAACCCACCATCTCTTAGAAAAGATAAGCTGTTTCTACATCCTATTAAAAGTAGGAGTGATTTTGAAAGGTCATTTGTAGAATGGGGGTATTGGAAAACTCTACCTGCTACTGCACATCATCAAGATCTTCACATGAAGGTCTCACTCATGCAATTCAAATGTTATTCAAGTCATCTTCATTTGATGGAAGGAGTAGCTCCCATTTGTCAGATTTTTCAGAAGTTTATCTAATCCTCTTGGCAAATAAGTACCAATAGTTGGACAAAGTTGACTTTTAAAACAAGAAAAGAAAAAGTTGAAAGTACAGCAATGATGATTTTATTATATTTCTTTGCATGTCTATCTCAAAAGACTCGATATGAACAATCTCAAAAAAGAAGAGCAATGTTTTGGTGGGTGTGGACATAAGCATGACAAACTCAAATGAGAAAAACTAGCTAGCTGCATGAGATATCACAATGCAAAATCTCCACAGCATATGATGGGTGCAATAAATTCTCTATTGGCTTAAAATGCCAACTATCATCACAATATGAAGCAATCAGAGGAAGCCAAGAGAGAACTCCAGAGCTGATGGCTGACAAAAGAGAAGAAGCAGAGATGACAAGTATGGACCCTAACCTGTGACAAAGCTATAGCTGCAATCAATGAGAAGCTGAAGCTCTTGGTCTGCTCCTGGATTTCTCAGGCCACTGTGTTCCTCTGGACAGAGCCACAACAACCCTCTGCTTCCGAGTCTGGTGAGGCATGAAGCATGCGAAGTATTTAAGGGTCTCCGAGTGAATATTTTAGTAGGCTCCTCAGGCATGCCAAACAAATCCCACTGCTAGACTTTGCAGTTCAGGTGCATGAGGGAAAAGATGCCCCAGACAGTGGCTACAAATGGCAGGAGTAAACTATGAAGACCTACATATTATTATATGTAGTATTGTAGAATTATGTAGTACAAGTCCTCAGAATCAGGTCAGGATGGCCAAACCATTTACCTCAGCATCGACAGCAGTGTCTGTGTGTCTGCATCACTGGTTTTGTCCCCGTTATACTGACTGGTATGTGAGAGGTTTGGACACTAAGAATGCGGGATGTGCAGTGAATTGAATGACCGTCGAACGCTTATCTGCTTTCCTCACCGTCAGAGCTAGATGCAGAGAAAGCAATTGCTCCATAATAAGTGCAAGAAGATGAAGGGATTTGGCTGATAAACAAATGATTAGAGTGTGTACGCGAAGGTCCAAACCACAAGGTAAGCAACACTGAAAACAAATCACTTGAGCAGAAAGCAAGGTCGGGGACGGAGACAGGAGATGGCACATGAGAGCATGCATGCCGTAATAATGGCAGCAACACTACAAACCAATCCGTTTCTTCGGGAGGAGGGCAGGCTTGCTCTTGTCCTCAGCAGAGAGGCCGAATCCCATGGGAGGGAGCGGATGCTGCGCGGCCATCAGTGGCGCACATGGTGAGGTCATGTGTGCGAGGGTCTTCCCCTCCCCCCCTCCCCCCGAAGCGCAAAGGGGGCGGGCATGGCTGCACGCGTTGCCGGGACGAGGAGGCGCAGGCGTACGGTGCCATGGGCGCCATGGGACTCCGCGAAAGCTGCAGCCAATGAGCTCATCTCTGAAGCCCCCCACCCCACCATCCCCTGCTCTTTTTGCCATTGTGTGGCGAGGTCTTCGAGCAGTATAATGGAACTAATTATGGCTTCAGCTCATTGCGTTGGAGCAAAAGAGCATGCAAAGCTGCCTTTTGGAGCACAGAGTTTGTACAATAAGTTGTGAATGATTTGCACTTTTAGGCTAATCAAATGCTTGCAATAGACTTATTAGATTCACAAGGATACACTTTGGTGATCACCACTCTCGATCCATCTTTCATCAACAAAACTATTGCCAAATAGTATCAAATCATACGTAGATGAAGACGATGCAAACACAAAAACGCATTAGTATCATAGAAAACAAGAAATAATTTATGAAGCAGTAGTAAGATGATGCTACATAAGGTTTTATAACTTCATCATCATCATCGCCATTAGAAGGCAATAAAAACATAGGACTTAATCTAAATGCGAGCACTCACTACCATGCCGAGGAAACAACAGTATTGAATTGCCCCCCTTAAACATGGGATCAAACGCCGAGCTACGCAGTGGGCATGCGTGCGTGCTTCGTCTCCCATGATGGAGTCTTCGCGATATGGCGTAGAGAAGACCACATGCTCTCCCTACTGCCCCTCGTGTTCGTTCTTTATTTGTGTGTTGTCTTGTCTTGGGAAAATAACAAGACAAGAGGAGCTGCCTTCTCGCATGCATTGAGGTCGTACCTGTTGGTCGAGTAACTACGGATTTAGTAGGATTCAAGTTTTATGTCCGATCGATCGACAAGCTTTGTATCCGAAATTTTGATTAATTATGATGAGGGAGGATTCCATCAGAAACTCGAATGCTGATGATATATCCTCACATTATAAGGTGATAGGGTTAATGAATGGCGTGGATGGTGATGAGGTGTCGAGTACGTACTTGTGCGATATGGATTATACATTAGCTAGCTAATAGGATATTTATTGTCCATATGTTTTATTACTCATATCATCTACTTTAGTTAATCATCGCTGTATGTTATATTGCTCATAATAGTGTCTTAATATAGTGCATGTAAAATGGCACTATAACTTCAACGTCAAGTATCTACATTGCTAAAAAGATCATGATAATAGTAAATATGAAATAATAATTTTATATTCCTTATATGTTATAATCCTCAATCAATCTATTATTAAGGATCAATCGTATATCTAAGTGTATAATTAATTTATTTTTAATATATGTATAAATACACATCACCTCAATAAATGATATCATCCCTTTCACAATAAATTCATAAATTCATTATGGTACCAGAGCTCTCTTGCTTCAAGCAAAAAGTTACCCTTTCTCTTTCTCACTATTTCTCTTGCTTCAAGCAAAAGTTACCCTTTCTCTTTCTCACTATTTCTAATCTATTTGTGACCATTATTCCTCTTCCTCTCTTTCTTGTTGCTGCTCTATAACACTTAGATTTTTATTTCTTATTTTTGAATTATAACATTGCATCAAAGTCGAAGACACATTACTTCTCCCTATTAATCTCCTAGTGTGATCTACTCTACAAAATATCTATTTCACTTTGTTAATCTAATCAACCTCCTTTAGTGATCAACCTACTTCTCTAATGATCCTCCATCGCTATTCAGTTCTGCTTAGCGGCTTTTCCCTTTCTCTTATACCAGCGCTTATTACCCAACATCTTCACTTATATCCTCATTCCCTTCTCGTCGACCATCAAACTCATTGGTGTCTCGGATTCATAATCGAGTTTTCGACAATAGTCCATTGCCTTCCACTATTCTCTCGATTGCACCATTAGTACTTATAATTAAGCCTTAGTCACTAGCTCCATAGCACCTCTAATCTCTTCATGCAGCATTGTAATTGAAGCATGATCTAAGTTACAAACCACCCTCGCTAATCGCTCTCACACTCCCATGCAAAGAATTTTATCTACTCTAATAAAAATAACACAAAAGGAAGTACTATTATTGATTATATATAAAAATTTAAAAGTTATTATGGATGATTTGACTTAAAAAAATTATTATTCATACTCTAAATGACTTAGGATATGAGTATAAAAAACTAGCGATAGTAATTCGAATACGTAACTTACCAATATTATATGAAGGACTATATAACAAATTTATTAATCATGAAGCATATCTAAAATGAGAAGAGAAGAAATAATACTATCGTACCTCAATTCAATAAAAAATCCAAAGAAAATAACAATCAAAGAAATAAGAAATTTAATAAATGATCAAATAAGTTGCCTCTTGGACACATGGGTAATACATAGAATCATCATCCTCCGTTATACTATCAACTCTCCAACCATGATAGCAACTTCAACTCAAACAAGTTAGGAAATAACTTCAACCAATAGTTCTATTGTAGACATGTATTTTCTTAGTACTCAAGTTCAACAACACCTCCCCCTCCTTTATAATTTTTTCATCTATCTCTCCACCAACTTACTCTGTAATATCTAATGAAGTAACACCCTTAGCAAACTAAATGATATATTTGTCCTTCCCTCAACTAAGTGACATTGAAGTGCATTAGCCTAGTGTCACTAACTCTTCACTAATTCTTATACTTGTAATACAACCCAATAATACCATCGGGACTGAATATCATATGACAATAAGCTCCAAAATTGACATATTTATATTACGTCAAATCCTTAATCTTCATGCTACTAAAAGCTCTCCATCTAATCCTACTGAATCGATAATCATCACCTAAACTTAGAAGTCTCCACACTAGTGTAAAGCTATATATGAGGACTCTTGTACCATATTACCTCACAAAATGTCATCGAGTATAAGTGAATATTTCAAATTAAGTAGAACCCAAATAGATCCATTATTAGATACAAAACATATATAGTGGTTAAAGGATTTTACTAACAATCAATTATTGATTTCATAGAGACTTTTAGTCTAGTTGTTAAACCAACGATAATTTGTTTCATCTTAAGCTTGACTATCACTCAAGGTTAATATGCACATTAACTAGATATTAATATTTTTTTTTTTACAGTAGACCTTAATTGAAGATATCTTTATGCAACAATCTTATAGCTTCATCGACCCTTAATATATAAACCATGTTTGTACACTATGAAAAGTTATTTATAGGCTTTGCCCAAGCCCCAAGATCCTAATATATTAAACTTGGCTCGTTTTTTATATCAGTCAACTTCATCAACTATAAGTTTAATACCTTTTAATTCATACGATAACAAAAGTGATATACTATATATCCAGTGATCTATGTGGATGACATTATCATCGTAGATAATAATTCTATGGAGATCAAGTAATTCTTTTAGCAATTGGCAGATCAATTATCTATAAAATACTTAGGAATCTTAAGTTATTTTCTGAGAGTGAAAGTATCGTACATATCTTCTATTCTTAAATACATTTCTAGGCTATATCATTGTAACTCAATCTCCAATATAATGATAAGAAAGAAAGAATGATCATACGAGTCTAACGAAATAAGAAAACTTCATCTTTTAACTCACTTCTCTCTTTATGAAGCTTTGTCAAATCTATAGAATATTATATTCTAACTTAAATATTAAAAAAATCTATAAAAAATCTTAACACTTAGTAAGTCTTATTGAGGTTACTAAATAGGCATACTCTAAGAATTTTAAAAATCTTGATATATGTTATGCCCAAGGAAATTACCATTTATTATAATTTCTAAACCAACAAAAGAATTTAAAAATAGAAAGACATATGTTGAAAAGAATTTAAGAATCTTGAAATTTTTTATATATGTTGCTCCTTTATTTTAAATAATGATTTAAATTTAATCCCACTAAATTATTTTAAAAAAAATTAAAATTAGAAAGACAAGTTTATTCAATCAATAAGAAATTTATATTTGAAAGAACAAATAAAAATAAAAAAAACATAATATATATTTTATAATTTGGTGTGTGAGTACAAATAGTTTTCTTTAATTCGAGCTAGAGCATATAAGAAATTAGATTCATTTTATTTACAGAGTAACCTCTCATTCAATAAGTCTTATTGAAATAAAAACTCAAAAAATAAAAATAAATTATATCGTACATTTACTGACATATTCTTAAGGTACACAGTTGGATCTATTCTCCAAGACATAATATTTATTTTTTATATGCATGAAATTGAAGAAGATTTTTTTTGTAAATATTGCTTGTGTTCGAAGAAGAATTTTCAAAATTCTTTCAAAATCAAACAAAGAATTAAATTGTATGATATCCGATAAATATCAAAAATAATTAAAACCAATCAAAAAATAATGGGCATAATTAAAGACTAATAATAAATAAACAAACAAAATAAATTAGCATCTCCAGTAAGCTAATTGGATGGAGAAGGAAACTGAGATCCACACGTGCGGATCCTTTACTTTTCTCATTGAACTTGGATCCTAGTAGATCCGACCCGATACAACCCCCCACCCAATATAACTCCATCATCCTGATCTCGACCATAAGTCGACCGATCACACATGAAAGCAC